GGGCTTTTGGCCTGATCCAACACTGGCATCTCTTATGTTCTTATGTTCTTATGAGAGAGAGAGAGAGAGAGAGAGAGAGGGAGGGAGAGGGGGGAGAGAGAGGGGGGAGAGAGAGAGGGAGGGAGAGAGAGAGAACGAACATTCCTTCAGGAGTCAATGTTTGTACAAATGTGCCCCCATGTGGTGAGAGACAGCAACTACTGTAGAATTCAGCAACCAGGATTTTCAGCAATAGATCAATTATTAGGAGAACACGCATGAGTTAGACTGTGCACATGCTAGCCATGCTTGTGCCAGAGATTCTTCTTTTAACTTGCGACGCTGGGAATAGATCCTGGTACCTTAAGCACATGAAACTGCCTTCTCCCGAGTCGGAACCATGACCCATCAAGGTGCGACACCTTGATAGGCAGCCGCTCTCCAGGATTTCAAGGCTGAGGTCCTTCCCATCACCTCCTACCTGACCCGTTTAACTGGAGATGCGGGGGGGATTGAACCTGGGACCTTCTGCATGCCAAGCAAGTGCTCAACCACTGAGCTATGAGCTCTCCACAGCCTTAGGCTTCCATGAGATCCTTTAAGATATAGGACCAATGAACATATAAGACCAACTCTGGCCCGCCTGCATTGGCTGCCTGTATGCTTCCGGTCCCAATTCAAGGTGCTGGTTTTAATCTACAAAACCCTGCATGGCTTGGGACCACAATACCTGTCAGAGCACCTCTCCTGGCCTCAACCTACTAGACACTGTGCTCATCCTCAGGGGCCTTCCTCTGAGTGCCAACTCCTCGAGAGGCTCAGAAGGCAGCAACTAGGGGTAGGGCCTTTTCGGTGGCAGCCCCCCATTTTTGGAACAACCTCCTTGCTGTAGCCCATCTGGTGCCTAATCTGCCATTTTTTTGGTGCCAGGTTAAGATAGCTCGCTTTACAGAGGCCTTCAAAGATCTCCTTGGTCATCTGGGAGCCTTGTTAGGATTAGCTTGGTGCCTCTGTTGATTTGCTGTTTTAATGTTCTTATGTTACAGAAATCAACCCTGACTGTTCCCTGGAAGGCCAGATCATGAGAAGGGAGCACTCACTGGAGAAGACCCTGATGCTGGGAAAGACTGAAGGTCAAAGAAGACGGGGACGGCAAAGGATGAGATGGTTAGACAGTGTCATCGATGTAACGAACATGAAATTGAGCCAGCTTCAGAGGACGGCGGAAGACAGGAGGGCCTTGCAGGAGCTGGTCCATGGGGTCGCAAAGAGTCGGACTCGACTGTGCGACTGAACAACAACTGTTTTATGCTGTTGTAAACTGCTCAGAGAGCTTTGGCTATGGGCAGTAAGAAATGAAATGAAATAAATAATAATTAACTGGAGATACTGGATATCGAACCTGGGTCCCTGCACACGCACTTTACAGAATTCCTTGCCAGAAGATGTGATGATCCATAGCAAGCTTTAAAAATAAAGAGGAGTCTCAGATAACAGAGGATAAGTTCAGTGGCATGCAGAAGGTCCCAGGTTCAACCTCCAGCATATTAAAAAAAAAACCTAGTAGCAGGTGCTGTGAAAGACCTCTGCCTGACACCTGGAAAAGCCACTACCAGTCTGAGTAGACAATACTGACTTTGATGGGCCACCAAGGGTCTGATTCAGAATAAGGCAGCTTCGTGTGTTCATGTGCTCGAGTCCTACATTGATGGTGATAACCAAATGGACCCTCCATATGTAACAGCAGTCTACCACTGAATTCTAGACCCTGGAACAGCCCTCTCTGCCTTGCCAGCTTCCCAGAGGCATCTGTCTGGTCACTGCTGAATGTGAAACTCAGTGCATCTTCTATTTGATCCATCGCACACATGGATACTGTTTTCCATTTGGACAGGTTTGCAGCACTTTTCAGCCAGTTCCAGCCATGACAACGAGAGGTGCCTCCCCTTGCGTCTTTTCACATGTACTTCGTGCATAAAGGTTGGTGGGAGGCAGACCGGGACGTCGTCTCTCTGCAACCTTCGCATGCTTTTTTGGGATGCTACAACACTCTTGAATATTAGTAGCCACCCACCTCAGCAACAAGCTTTTGGTATCCTTTCCCTCAGTGTTGGTCTCTGCCCCATCAAATTTATTGGTGAGGGTAAGTGAGACCTCTGTCTTGGCAAGATGAGACAGAGCGCGTTCCGAGTTTCCATCAGCTCCATTTCCCACGCTTTCACCTGTCAAAGGGTTGGAATTAAAACGGGGAAAGAAAGAAAGAAAAGAGTTCTTAGGCAACACACTCAGGGTTGAACTAAATCAATATATCTAATTCTCAACATGGCCCAGCCTGTGGATACTTAAACGTGGAGACTGGGGCCACGGACAAACAAGACAGATCTTTTGGCAAATCTGAGAAGAGCCCCAGCTTTACAGAGAATTATTATTATTATTTTCTTCTTCTTCTTCTCTTCTCCTTCTTCTTCTTCATCATCATTATTATGCCAGTGTACTTTGCTTTCACTTAATACAATTCTCTTAAAAGCAAACCAAAGAAACAAAAGAAGGAAAATAAACTGTGGTAGCTCTACTGGTGCAATTGGTGTTACATCAGGGGTGACCAGCTGTAGGTCCAAACCAGGGAAAAGGCAATAGGCTATAGAGCACAAGAGTATGGATTATGGTGTCACTGTCAAATTCCATGCCACACTTACCTATTAAGGACTGGATGGTAGGCAACTCTCCCAGGTCTTCTAAAAGCTCATGTAAAGGGTCCCTAGGATCAGGAGCCACGAACTGCTGGTGCTCCAGTAACAGCTATAATGTGGCCAAAGACAGAAGACTAGGAAGTAATAGGCCCCTAATGTTGGCAGAGTTTAAACATGCAGAGGAACAAAGCACCAGCTGTTTAAAGAAAACAGAAGGATGTGCTTCTGATCTTCTTCACACTGGTACGCGATAGACCTTGTATATTCCAACACCTAAAACCATATAAACCTAGGACAGAATTTAAAAATAAAACAACAAACCCATGGGACTAGCCCTGTTAACCCAAGGTGGCTAGAGACTTGTTCTTCTCTGCCCAATGTACCCCTTGTACTGCAAGGCATTTGAAATGGGAGGATTTCCAAAACAGTGTGATCTGGCAATAGAGCAGCTGTTCAAACAGGTGTTCACCCACTGAGACATCACCCTTCCATGTGATGGCTTGGGATTTCACAGCTGCTTGTAAAAGAAGAAACTTTGCAAAGTAGCCGTTCTCTTCTGGGATTTTATTGCATGCTAGAGTTATCCTGGGATAACAAGTCCCACAAGCCACTAATGTCCAACAAGTTAAAAAACTGAACAAATAAATGAGAATAAAAAACAGTAGCAAGGAAATGGTAGCCATGTTTGCAAAGACTTAGCTCCCAAAATATTGGAAAGGGCAATGTCCGATGTACAAAGAAGAAGACCCTGCAGTGGGCAGCAAGAAGACAATTAGATAGGATATTGAGGTCAGCACCTTCTCTCTCCTGTTAAGTGTCATTCCTTGCCTGTCTCCAGATTGCTACTCTCAGGATAATTTCCCCCTTCTCCTCGGAAGGGCCACGCTCAGTCTTACCCTCTCTCCCAGCTAGAGATGTAGTTAGGAGCCTCTCTTTGTCTCTCCTCTCTCCTATCAAGTATATTAATTCCTAAATAAACCTTTATCTACTCTTTAATCAGGTTGTGCACCATTGCTGTGCTAATTACTTTGCCAATACAAAGAAGTGACAACTGGGACAAAAAGTTCAAGGACAGGAATGATGACAGAATAGGTTATTCAGCGGCTACTAACCACAACAGTCAAAGTGGCGATTACTATTTGGAAAGCATATAATGCAGACTGCCCTGTTTGTAAACTTTGCTAGCGTGCCTGTCAATCACTATAGGTCAACCACTGATTTAAATGAATCCAGTGGTCTGCTCTGGCAATACAGGGTTGGATCTTGAGTGGCCTTTCCGCTCCTGGAAGAGGAGGAGGATAGTTTTTGCAAAATCCGCCACTGTCAATGAAACCCCACTTGCCTGTCTCCAGATTGCTACTCTCAGGATAATTTCCCCCTTCTCCTCGGAAGGGCCACGCTCAGTCTTACCCTCTCTCCCAGCTAGAGATGTAGTTAGGAGCCTCTCTTTGTCTCTCCTCTCTCCTATCAAGTATATTAATTCCTAAATAAACCTTTATCTACTCTTTAATCAGGTTGTGCACCATTGCTGTGCTAATTACTTTGCCAATACAAAGAAGTGACAACTGGGACAAAAAGTTCAAGGACAGGAATGATGACAGAATAGGTTATTCAGCGGCTACTAACCACAACAGTCAAAGTGACAATTACTATTTGGAAAGCATATAATGCAGACTGCCCTGTTTGTGAACTTTGCTAGCGTGCATGTCAATCACTATAGATCAACCACTGATTTAAATGAATCCAGTGGTCTACTCTGGCAATACAGGGTTGGATCTCGAGTGGCCTTTCAGCTCCTGGAAGAGGAGGGGGATAGTTTTTGCAAATTCTGCCACTGTCAATGAAACCTCGTGATGTTCCCGAGGAGTTCACCAACTCACAGGAGCACAATTTCAAAGGCGTAGAAGACTGCAGTTGCTATTTTTCCAATACAACTCTGCTCACACTACAGTAGAGTCAGCCCACAGTACTGCAAAACTGAAACGGTACCGTTTAGACCGGGGATATACATTAAATGAATTTCCACAAAAAAAGGCTTCATTTTGCACAGTTTACGGTCCGGCTTTGGAAATAATTTTGATTATTTTTTTTGGGAATGGCGATGAGTTGTTCCCGAGGAGTTCACCAACTCACAGGAACACAATTTCAAAGGCATAAAAGACTGTGGTTGCTATTTTTCCAATGCCACTCTGCTCACACTACATAAGAGTCAGCCCACAGTACTTATCTCCTGCAAAACTGAAACTGTACCGTTTAGACTGGGGATATACATTAAATGAATTTCCACAAAAAAGGCTTCATTTTGCACAGTTTACAATCCGGCTTTGGAAATAACTTTGATATTTTTTGGGGGGGGAATGGCGATGAGCAATGCTCCCTCTAAGCTGTGGAGTCTTGTGAGCAAAAAAGTCTACTTTGTGAGCTACTGGCATTAAAGTTGTGAGGGAGTGATTTGGCTACTGCGTAAGTTAGTTTCCTCTGGAGCCATCCTTCCTGAGCTACGACAAAAATATGTGAGCTGGAGGCTAAAAAACTGTGAGCTAGCTCAAATTACCTCAGAGGGAACACTGGAGATGAGTCGAAGTGGTCATATATCGAATGGGGGGTGGAATATGAAGTCCTGCTTTGCTGTCCAGTCGCACAGTCGAGTCCGACTCTTTGTGACCCCATGGACCACATCACGCCAGGCCCTCCTGGCTTCCGTTGTGCTCCGGAGTTTGCTTAATTTGAAGTCCTGCTTGAGTCTCCATAATAATGGGGACTGGACACTTAACTCGTTTAAGAAGCCAGTGCAAGATTCTCCATGTTCCAAACAGTCTTCCCACAGAGCCTTGCTAAATTTTACAGCAGCCCTACGAAATACACATGCAGTGTCACAAACCAGACCGATTCTCAGCCAAAATCATTTTGCATATTCTCACCTTGTGGGTATTAATTAGTTCCCCAGCTGTGATGTAGACCACTGGTTTGGTGATCATCACCATATCAGAGTACTTGTCTACATTAAACCTGTCCTCTGGTTCAGGTACTGAACAAGCAGCGGTGATGAATTTTCTGAAAGGTACAGAACAAAAACAGGGAAAAAAGGAGCTGCGGTGGCTCAGGTGGTTAAGACGCTGAACTGCAGGCTGTGGAAGGTCAGTAGTTCAGCAGTTCGAGACCCGAGTTGCCGCATGATGGCGTGAGCTCCCGTCTCTAGTTCCAGCTCCTGCCAACCTAGCAGTTCGAAAGTAAGAAATTGCAAGTAGATAAACAGGTACCACTTCGGTGGGAAGGTAACACCGTTCTGTGCGCCTTGGTGTTTAGTCATGTCGGCCACATGACCACAGAAATGTCTTCGGACAGCGCTGGTTCTTCGGCTTTGAAACGGAGATGAGTACCGCAACCCTAGAGTCTGATTCGACTGGCTTTCGAGCAAGGGAACCTTTACCTTTTTTACAGAACAAAAACAGTGAAGGAATAGTTCACATACACCCCCTCCCAAAGCCTGGAACCCTGTCTATGGCTATGTTGAGCACTGTGGGATCCTGACACACGCAATCCACGGTGCCATCCATTTAGCAAAGCCATGCAAATATGTTTCCCCAAACATATTAGCTCATAGACATTTTAATAAACTTTTTTGGCTTCATGGACATTCTCACCTGACTGCCCAAAGGAGATTCTAAATGGACACAAGCGACCAGGACAACTCTCTCAACTAGCATTTCCCCATAAATTGCCAGATCCATTTTAGCAGCCAAGAGCGCTAAAACTGTGTTTGTATTATTTTATAGTAAAATTATAAGGACACCAAACTGTTGGAAGGGATGTAAAGATACTGGAACCTTTAGTCATTGTTGGTGGTCTTGTCCACAGGTCCAAACCTTTTGGAACTCAGTGTGGAAGATTGTAACTAATATTGTAGGACACAGTATACCATTTACGCCAGAATCTATATTATTGAATCACTGGGAAAATCTTAAGATGACTAAACAACAAAAAGAAGTGACAGCTTTACTTCTTTTAGCAGCAAAAACAGCGCTAGCTCAACAATGGAAAACATCAAATACACCCTCAGTGAAACAATGGTTCCAAAAGGTTTGGGACGTTATAGTTCAGGACAAAATTGCAATGCAACTGGAATTAGCAGACAATCCTTCAAGAACATTGAATTTTGTGGAGAAATGGTTTACTTTTTTTAATTATATTGAAAACGAAACAAATGAAGCCTTAAAAATTCCAAACAAATATTTGAACTTCGTTTTTTACTGAATGAATAAATATCAGAAATATGAGATTAAGCTGTTAAAGTTATATGCTTGCACAAGAATTTGTTTGTTGTTGGTTAAAAGTTTAAGTTTATTTTAAAAATTGTTTATAAAAGGTTGTATATATTATTGTTGTATATAAAAATATAAATTGTTGTATGTTATAATTAAAAAGTTACAAAAAAAACCCCTGTGTTTGTGTGTGTTTTTCAACTTTATGAATGTAAACTTTTAAGTGCTGGCATTCTTGGGGAGCTTAATTTATCATCCTAGTTCCCTTTCATGATTTTTTTCCCCCTGCAGGATGATGGTACACCCGCAGCCCTGCCTCTCGTGGTCTGGATTTGTAAAAGCCCATTCAAAGGACAGAACACATGAAGCTACTTTACACTGAATCAGAGTCCATCAGTCCATCAGGGTCAGTGTTGTCTACGCAGACTGGCAGCTGTTCTCCAGCGTTTCAGGCAGAGGTTTTTTGCATACCCTACTACCTGGTCCTTTTTAAATTAGAGATGCTGGGAATTGAACCTGGGACTTTCTGCATGCAAAGTGGGGTGTTCTACCAGAAGAGAAGAAGAAGAGAAGAGATTGGATTTATACCCCGCCCTTCACTTGGAGTCTCAGAGCGGCTTACAAACTCCTTTCCCTTCCCCTCCCCACAACAGACACCCTGTGAGGTGGGTGGGGCTGAGAGAACTCTGACACAAACTGCTCTTTTTCAAGGACAGCTGTGCCAGAGCTTGTGACTGACCCAAGGTCACATCAGCAGGTGCAAGTGGAGGAGTGGGGAATCAAGCCCGGTTCTCCCAGATCAGAGTCCGCACACTTAACCACTACACCAAACTGCCACTGAGCCATACCGCCTTCCCAGAAGGAACAATTCCTAGAAAAGATAGCCTTGCTTCACACTAAGAGGTTGAATGAAACAGGTTTCATGTTGGGGAGGAGCCGTGGCTCACTGTTAGAGCGTTTGTTCTGCATGCAGAAAGTCCCAGGTTCAGTCCTTGGTATCTCCAGCCTAAAAGGAGCAGGGAGGAGCTGACACGTAAGACCTCTGCCCGAGATCCTGGAAAGCCTCTGCCAGTCAGAACAGAGAATCCCGACCTTGACAAAACAATGGTCTGACTCTGTATAAGGCAGCGTCACACGATCCTACTTTGCGGATCTTGAGACCAACCTGAATTTAAGGTGCGTTTCCTCCAAGTACTGGTTTACCACCCTGAGATGGCTGTTCTCCCCTTCAAACATCTGGTTGGCAGCAGCATGTTGCAAGATCTTGGCGATGGACCCCAAGTTGCGCCTGTGGTCGGGATGCAGGGCTACCCCAGCCGAAATGTCGACAATATCGAAACCATCCGGCGCGACCACTGCTGGGTTCATGAAACGGTAGTACAGCAGGTTCCCCACAATCTAGGACAGAGATGGATTGACTTCAGTCTTATATAGCCTACCATATTTTTGATTTTTTACAATAATCCTCCAGAAAATATGAATTCATGCTGGAGATTGCCTTAATAATTAAAGCATAACTCATCTGTTTTAAATGACCTGGAGGAGACACATTTCCTTAAGAAGATGCATTCTACTGTGGATTAAGCCAAAATCCACCAAGGCTAGTATAATTCTACCCAGGGGTCGTTTCGTAGAAAAAAAGCTAGGGGAACTCATTAGCATAACTCATTAGCATATGCCACACCCCCTGACATCATGGGCCCGGCGGTGGACCTGCAAGGCCGGCGGGATTGCGAGGAAGCCCCGCCAAGGCCCTCCCTGGCCCCAGGCAGGCAGGGGTGGGGAGAGGCGGGGAGTAAGCAACTTACCCTCCCTCTTCTCCTGCCTCCTCGTGGCTGAATGAGGGCCGGAAGCGGGGTGGCTGGACGCAGGGGGCAGGGCTTTGTCGTGTGCCCCGCCCCTCACCCGGGGGAACTGCGTTCCCCCGCAATCCCCCCCGAAATGACCTCTGATTCTACCTGACCGCCGGTACTGGGCAGTTCACTAGAAATTGACCAGCGGTCCACTGGTGGACCTTTTGCCCCGAGTATTCAACTGGGGGCAAGGCCCTGACAGGAAAAATTAAGAATCAGCGTACACAAGAACAGCAAATCTTCTGAGCAAATTGTCCCCAGTTTCTACCATTTCAAATTGCTAGGCAGGGAGGAAAAATCACAATACTGAATTCCCCCACCCCCATATATAACACTCCATGTGCATAAAAAGACAAGATGTTCTAGTTCAGCTTCTCTCCAACATGTTAGTTTTTCTAGAGGGAGGACTCTTCCCTGCCAAAAATGCAGGAGTATTCAAAAATGCCATTCTGCTCAGGCATGGTTTGCAGTGGTAGAGTCCAGAAAATGCTGTACCCCTGCTGTGTATGTAGGCCAGACCTTAAAAAATATGGCGTGGTAGAAAGACAAAAAGCAGTGGCTCCTCGTATTTGCTAGGGTTGCCCTCGCTTGACCTTAAGACTGTTCCACTCAGAGGCACCTCTGCTGTCAAGGAGACTACTAACCTCAGGCAACAGATTTCAAGAATAATTACAAGGTGGAATCACCAATTATTTCATTAAACGTTATAATCAGGGCTGCCAAAAGGCCTGTGGAAAAGGGTCCTGCCCCTTTAATAGAGGTCTAAGGAGATGTTATTTACCAGGTGATATTTACCTCCACAACATGAAAAGCTTCAACTGCCCATTTCCACACGTCAAACCTCTGCTAAAGAGCCAGGACATTTCTCCCCAGACCAGTTGGCGTCCCTAATGATTTTTACAAGGGGAGGCCCGTCTTGAATTTCCTGCCACTTTACCATTATGGTTTCCACCTGCTCCTCAGCACTTTGCCAAGACCTCCATCTTCACCATGTCTCTCTATCTTCCACAGTTCAGCAGTATCTAATGACTAGCAGCAAGCCCCACAGCATTTAAAACTTCATACGCAAAGACTGCCTAGCCTCTGAAAAAGCTGGGGCCAACAGAAAACAAAATGGCCACCAGGGGAAACCATTTTAAGTTACTCTCTGCAGTCCTGTAACATGCTGGGTGTGAGTGAGTGAAACAGACAGATAGAAACTAGTTATCTTGGTCATTAAATTTCAGTTTCTCTCCCTTCAACCCCTGAGATGGTACCCATACATCCAGGCAACACACTCACCTTGTAGATATCCTCCTCAGGAGCATCTGGAAACTTCTCCATTAAAGACACTTTCAAGACTTTGGCAATGTAGCGCATCCCATAACTAACCAGAAGAGAGAAAGTTACCAAGTAGCAAAGTCAAGATTAGCGTGTGAGCAGGGAGAGAAAGAAAGCAGTTTTTAATAAGACACTTGACCTCTGCAAGGTCTTGGGCCTGAAAAATACAGATAGAGTGGGATCCTCCAAAAGGCAACCACTCGAGCTGGAAGAAGTCTTCAAACTTTGCTCAGTGGAGTGGCAGGCTCCATCCCTTCATTATCATCATCAATGATCCAGCATCAACTGGTATAAAAATAAGCCATGCAAATGGTAACGTACGGAATTTTATCCACGGAAGTCATGATGGCCGAGAGGAACTTGTCTGTCACTGCCAGTAGATTGCGGACGGAGATGTCCAACCTCCTCTGGACCTCGGGGTGGCTAAGGGCTTGTTCAGGGCTAACATCATATGGGAGGTTGCTGTGGGGAGACAAACAGAAACACATTCCAGGCACCACCCAAACTAACCTGGAGTTGCCATGGCCTCCCTGTCCAAAGACTCTCCTCCTTGTCTGAACTGCTTCCCTGCTGGGATGACAGCAGGCAAGGTGTTCAACCCAGTGAGCTTTTCTTCAGAACGACCCTGGTCCTGATCCAGGCTCTCCCAAACAACCCCAGCACAGCAACAAAGCAAAGCCTTTTCAGGGGTGGCCCCTAACTCATCACCAGCCTTATTTCTTGGAAAAAGTAACAGAAGACATTCCTCTTTAGGGGACACGTATAGAACCCTGGCCTAATAAAGACTAGCTTGTGAACTTGGGGTTGAGAGTATAGATTAGAAAGGCCGTGATAAAAATAGCACACAACAAATCTACACTTTAAAAGTCTACACACCTCTGGGGTGGGTTGTCAACTCTTAAACTTGTTCCTCTAGCTGTCCCTTTAATATCTGCTTGGTCGGCAAGCAATTATTTGGCAATGGTGCTTCGTGCCATGAAATGCCTTTACCCCCTTTCCACTAGTTAAACCAGTATTAGAGGGACAGGACAAGTTTTTTCCTGTCAGGTTAGCAACCTTAGTTTGGGTTCACCTTCCTGGCTGCCACAAGTGATTGTGCAAGGCAACAGTGGCTCCTCCTCCTTATCCTCTAGGCCCCTCTCCCTTCATGTGCCTCTTGTGGACAGCACTCTCAAGCTAAACCCACTCTCTGTTCACTTCACAGTTCACACACTCCTCCCTACACATGAAGGCCCTCGCTCAGGAGCAGGCCCTCGCTCTCATGATGGCTATCGTCATGGTTACCAGCTGAGGGCATGTTTACAGTCACAGTGCTAGTCTCATTGTTCTCTTGTCCTCTCAGATATGGTTTCTTCCCCACTGCCTCCACAGGATGGTAACTACTTCCCTTCATCTCAGCCTCCCACCTCCTTCACCCCTCCTTCCTCATCATTCTTTCATTCCTCACATTCTTACCCCACATTTACTTCAAGGCATTCAGTGTGGAGGACTTCATCAGGGGTTATCCTGTTGTTCCCCTCATAAAAAACCTGTGACATACGTTAAGCTAAAAAAGGGTAAGGAGACTCAAGGTCACCTACTGAATTCCATGGCGTGGGGGGCCGAGAAGGGCTTCGAACTAGTCTCCCTGTTCCAAGAGCAGCACTCCACCAAAATGGCTCTGATTACATGGACCCCGTACCTATATCTAAGGGCTTTGGCAAGGTAGGGGAAGCCTCCCCCATTGACTCCCCATCACACAAAAATTCCTTAACTTCTGTAACTAGAATATGTTTGACAATATTTCAGCTGGGAAATAGTGCCTTAACTTTGTTAACGAAGGGTTGCCTAACCATTTTGTTTGTAAGTGGGTAGCCGTGTTGGTCCGAAGCAGCAGAATTAAGTTTGAGTCCAGTGGCACCTTTAAGACCAACAAAGTTTAATTCAAGATATAAGCTTTCATGTGCAAGCACACTTCTTCAGATACTAGAAGTGTGCTTGCACATGAAACCTTATACCCAGAGTTAAACTTTGTTGGTCTCAAAGGTGCCACTGGACACAAACTTCTTTTTGCTGAAATAAACTGAAATAAAAGTCAGTAGCGAAAGAAAAAGCCGATGATACACCCTAACCTTTTTTGCCCAGTCTGAGACTCCGTTTGGTTGATCCAGCCTTTGTAGATCTCCACGGGGCTGGTGCGGATGCTGAGAGTTTTGTTCTGCAGAACCTCCTGGACGGGCCCCCCCAGGATCTGGCGCAAGGCGTTCTGCCCGCGGGCATTCCGATAAAAGCTCACCACCAAGCGGATCACCGTTGGATTCCCCGTTAGGATGTCACGGACTTGATCGACTTTCAACCTGGAAAGTGTGCACCAGAGATTAGGACATAAGAGGTGCAGATAGGGTTGCCAAGTACTTACCTAAATCCGGCGGGGGACACATGCTCCCCGGCCAGAACATTTCTCCTTGTAACGCACCATGCCGTCGCCAGGAAATGACACCATTGCCAGAACGTCACCCGGTGTCACTTCCTGGCAACGGCATGGTGCAGCACATCTGTTGTCCCCGCAGGAATGATCCTGCGAAGACGTCTTTGTCCCCCACCGAATCACGGTAAGTACTTGGGAAGCCTGGGTGCAGAAGAGCCACAAAGAGAGTGCCCAGGACTGCACGGTTTTGTTGAATACAAACTATTTATTTCACAGAATTTATATCCCACCTTTCTGCCTTCATGAGGGCCACCAAGGTGGCTAACAAAGTGGTGGAAAGTTCTGCCAAGTCAAAGCCAACTTATAGCAACCCAATAGGGTTTTCAAGGCAAGAGACTTCAGAGGTGGTTTGCCATTGCCTACCCTCTGCCTCCGTAGGGACCCTTGGTGGTCTCCTATCCAAGTACTAACCAGGGCCAACCCTGCTTAGCTTCTGAGATCAGACCAGCCTGGGCCATCCAGGTCAGGGGCGAACAAATTAAAACATACGTAATAAAACCACATTTTAAAACCATTAAAACCAACCTTCCCAACCAACTACAGCAGAAAGCGATTTCACATATTGCAAGTTTTACACTCAGCCAAAGAACCTTGGGGATGTCTTAAAGAGGAGCATGAGTACTGTTATATCGTGGCCGTTGTGAATTTGTTGAGGTTCCCTTATTGTAATACTACAGTTATTTTAACATGATCCCTTAAGATAAAAAGGCTTTGCTTTAGCTTCATTTTTTCACTTGTGCTGTTGGTTGCTGGCTATAGCCCAGAAGGGCCCAGACAAGGCCTTGCTTATGTTCACATAAAGTTCTGTTCTCTTTTGGTACTGGGTGCCGTGGAGTTATTATAAGTAATGTGGGATAACACTGAAGTAGGTCCACATATGTGTCATCAAAGGCACTGAGTAATCGTTCAGACTGGCAGAACCCCACCTCCTTTAAATTCTCAGAAGACGTAAGAAGGATGGATGATCTGGCCTCTGCACAGGACCACCTCCCCGATATTTCTACATGTCTCAGATCGATTTATTTATTTATTGGATTTATACCCTGCCCTCCCTGCCGCAGCAGGCTCAGGGCAGCTTACATAAAATTTTTAATACAGTTTAAAACCAACATAACATGACAGCGACGGCGGCGACGGCGGTGTGGTGGTGCGATGCGGCGATCCCTGGTGGCCGATGGAACAACAGCGTCCAGCACTCGGCGTCCGTCGCTCGGCGACAGTGGAGGTGGAGTAACGAAGGAGCGCACGGCAGCGTGAGTGGCGCAGGCGCAGCGGAGCCGGATACGGACACAGCTGGGCCGAGGCTACCGCGGGCCGTGCGCCGGAAGATCGAAGCCAAGAAGGACTGGCCGTGGATGCGCGCCGACCCCAGTGGACCATCGAGGAAAGAAAGCTGAGAACAACGAACCCACCCAGGTGCCGGTAGGCAGCCCCACCCCGTGTAATATGTGGCCATAGAATTAGGAGTAATCTGCACTTGCAGCACAATTGTAAACCGCTCTGAGACCTTTGGGTCTGAGCGGTATAGAAGTCGAATGTTAAATAAATAAATAAATAAAAATAAAATCTAGGTATGCCTCCAGACTTGCAGGAGGCAAGGATTAGAGGACTGATTTGTTCAGAGACACAACGAGCAGCCTTTTTAAAGTAAATCGCTTGGCAGCATCCCTGCAGTAGAAGTTACGGAATATACCAATTGTTCTCAACACATGGCGGAATTACTTGCCCCCAGCAAGAGGAGCAATTGAAAGAGTCAAGAATCATGCAGAATGGGCATCCTCCTCTGGGTGGATGTCCCGAGGGCTGCAACTCTTAAAGTAACGATTCTTTAAAATGACTTGTCGTGCTGCACTAGCATGTATGTATCTTGCGGCACGGGATAGGGGGGATTTTTGCAGCAAACCACACGGCGGGAATTTAGGTCTCTCCTCCATTGCCAGCCCACGGAGTTTCTATAAAAAGAAACCAGTCACCTTGCCGGAGCCACAGTGAGCGAAGCGCCGGCCCCGGCAGGAGAAGAGAAAGGCCTCCGTGGACCTCTAGTTGGAAAACAGAGACTTACTTGATCTCCTCCTGCAAGGCGCTTCTGAAGAGCTGGAGCAAGAGGTAGGCCTCTCTGGCATTGGAGGCGTAGTTGAAGAGCGTGAAGACCACCGACTCCATGAACTTGGTGGACTTGTTCTGGGGCATCTGCATGATCAGCCTGGCCAAATACAGCGGCTGGGTCTGAAAGGGAACAGGGCAAGGGGGACAGGGACAGGCAGGAACGCTACTGGGGGTTGCTTCTCTCCACAAACAACCTGAAAGCAGAGACTGCTCAGGCGGCGAGTCCTGGAGCCAAGAAACAGCATCTTTGCTTGCAGAAACCTACAGAGCTGTGATTGCAGGACAGTCCTGTAACTGCAATCCCAAAATCTGAATGCTTCAAATGGCACCGGGGTAGGGTGGGAGTGCTTGCAACTCTCCTTGCTTGGCATGCATAGATCAAGACGCGTAGCCATGTTAATCTGTAGCAGTAGAAAAGAGCAAGGGTCCAGTAGCACCTGAAAGACTAACACAATGGGTGGCAGGGACCACAAATTTTCTTAGTCTTTAAGGTGCTCCAGGGGCCACAAATTTTCACACCCACTAAATAACGCACTTTCACTCCACTTTCAGTGCACTTTGCAACTGGATTTTAATATGAGAAATGGCAAAGTCCACTTGCAAACAGTCACTGAAGTGGATTGAAACTAGGGTTGCCAAGTCCATTTTAGCCTCCAGCGGGGGACTTTGGGGGGCGTTCCCGGAGGGGGCAGGGCATCCCCGACGTGATGACGTCACGTTAGGGCCGCCCGCCCAATGGGCGCGCAGGGAGCTGGAAGGCTTCGCACACCCAGTGGGGCGTGCGGGAAATGCCACCTCCCTGCACTTAAATGGAGCCCCTTTAAGTGCAGGGCAAAGGGTGGCTGCGGGTGTTGGGGGCGGGTAGAACCCCCCAAAAAGCGGGGGACCCCTGCCAAACTGGGGGGTTTGGCAACCCTAATTGAAACTGCATTATTTAGCATGTGTGAAAGCACCCTTAGTCTTTAAGACGCTCCTGGGTTCTTGCCATGCCTGTATCTGAAAAATCCCAGCTGACCTGCAACTGGTAGAAGAGGTGCTGGTAGGCCTCCAGGGTCTCCCGCTTCTCCTTGCTGAGCGCCCTCAGCCCCTTTTGCTTGTCGAGGCCCATCAACTCCGAGAGCTGCTCTTTGTTTTTCCGGGTCAGCTTCTTGCAGTGAGAGACCACCTCCTGCCAAGCAAGGGGGGAAAAAATCACAAATGCACCAATATTTCTCTCTCACGCACACTTTGCTGTATTCGCAAGAGCTTGCAGGTAACCACACAGGCCCAAAGAGAAATCCAATCATGAAAGCCACGTGATGCCTTTTATTAGGAGCAGACCTCACAAAATAATAGCACAAGGTTGTAAGCTTTGTATAGTAGTTTGCTTGCCAGACTGGGAACTGGGGAGAGGACTGCGGCTCAGCGGTAGACCATCTGCTGGGCGTGCAGGAGGTCCCCAGTTCAATCCCTGGTCACCTCCAATTAAAAGGATCAGGGAAGAGGTGATGTGAAAGACCTCTGCCCAAGACCCCAGAGAGCCACTGCCAGTCTGAGTGGGCAACACTGACCTCGATGGAGACCAATATTTCTCTCTCACGCACACTTTGCTGTATTCGCAAGAGCTTGCAGGTAACCACACAGGCCCAAAGAGAAATCCAATCATGAAAGCCACGTGATGCCTTTTATTAGGAGCAGACCTCACAAAATAATAGCACAAGGTTGTAAGCCAATTGTGAGGTATAGTAGTTTGCTTGTCAGACTGGGAACTGGGGAGTAGAGCATCTGCTGGGCATGCAGAAGGTCCCCAGTTCAATCCCTGGTCACCTCCAATTAAAAGGATCAGGGAGGAGGTGATGTGAAAGCCCTCTGCCCAAGACCCCAGAGAGCCACTGCCCGCCTGAGTGGGCAACACTGACCTTGATGGAGCAACAGTCTGATTCAGTATGAAGCAGCCCCTGTGGGAGCCTTGGGGTTCAAATTCCAAGCCTTCACGAAGGTCACGGAGTGAAGCTTGGTCTAAGGCCTTGCAACATTAAGTCAGTCCTAAGACATGGTAATGCCCTGTCTTACGTCAACAAAACCAGCTGAGGAATGGGCTATCTTTAAATGGCTTCTTGGTGTCTCCAGCTCTAAATACAACTACCTGTTGGATGAACACATCACACATCTGATGAAGTAAGCACAAATGAGCAGTTTCCACAGTGAAAGGTGGTAAGCAGTGGGGTACCAGAAGTCTCAGTTCTAGGTATGGTGCTTTTTAACTTGTTCATTAACGATTTGGAGTTGGGAGTAAGCAGTGAAGCGGCTACGTTTGTGGCTGACACTAAGTTGTTCAGGGCAGCGAGAACCAGGGTGGACTGTGAGGTGCTCCAGAGGGATCTTGTCGAGGCTGGGCGAGTGGGCGTCAACATGGCAAATGAGGTTCAACGTGGGCAAGTGCAAAGGAATGCACATTGGAGCAAAAAATCCTAACTATAAATATTTGCTGATGGGGGTCTAAACTGGCAGAGACTGACCAGGAGTCGTGGTAGGTAACTCGCTGAAGATGTTGATTCAGTGTGCAACTGCAATAAAAAAGGCAAACACTATGCTAGCGGTTATTAGGAAGGGGACTGAAAACAAATCAGCCAGTATCATAATATCTGTGGTGTTTATCTCTTTAAGATTAAGTTGTATCGTTTCTATACACCTGAAAAGGATTGAGAGAAGCACACCTCCCCCTCTCCGTTTTTAAGCCTTCTTCCCTGCAGGTCGGGGCTTATCTTGTATTGAGGAAACTATTGAATAAACGAGGTCGTGGACCTGAACGGTATTGTGCTTGTTAATACGGCTGCACCACTATAATAAGAGACATTACAATATCCCTGTATAAATCTATGACGCGGTTTAATTTGAAATATAGTATAGAGTTGTGGTCACCACACCTCAAAAAAGATATAGCGTTGGGAAACGTGCAGAAAAGGGCAACTAAAAATGATTAAGAGGATGGAACACCTTCCCTATGATGTACGCTTAAAGAGGTTAGGGCTCTTTAGCCTGAAGAAATGATGACTGAGGGGTGACATGATAGAGGTTTACAAAATCATGCATGGGATAGAGAAGGTAGAGAAAGAAGCACTTTTCTCCCTTTTTCACAATACCAGAACTCATGGGCACTCGATGAAATGAATGAGCAGTAGGCTTAGAACAGATAAAAAGAAGTACTTATTCACTCAAAGAGTAATTAACACGCGGAATTCACTGCTGCAGGAAGTGGTGGCAGCTACAAGCACAGAGAGCTTTAAGAGGGGATTGGATAAACATATGGAGCAGAGGTCCATCAGTGGCTATTAGCCACTGTATAGCCAAGGTATAGATTGAACACTCTGTCTGGGGCCGTGATGCTCTGTATTCTTGGTGCTTAGGGGGCCACAGCGAGAGGGCTTCCGGAGTTCTGGCCCCACCGATGTACCTCCTGCTGGCACCTGGGTCTTGGCCACTGTGTGACACAGAATGCTGGACTAGATGGGCCACTGGCCTGATCCAACATGGCTTCTCTTATGTTCTTATGCAAAAGCTTACGCAGGAATAAATTTGGTTAGTCTTTAATGTGCTACTGGACCCCAGACCATTTGTGTGCAGCTGTTCAGGGAGACTGTGCCTGTCATCGCCAATCTACCAAGTTCTATCCTAGAGCACTTGCATTGATCCCCCCCCCTCCCCACTGCCCAGGGTATATAAGCCCAGCAGCATACAGGACCCCAACGTGTTCACACAATTTTCAGACAATTTTCACACAATTTTCAGACTCTCGGGGACTCCCGTTTCCCTGCAGATCCACCTGACCTGGAGGGTGATCCTGTTCTTAACCAGCAACCCGATCTTGATATCCATGAGATTGAGGTCGCTCTCCAGCTGCTGGTTGGAACGGATCCCCCTGACCACACTCTCCTGGAGGTCCAGCAGCTCCATCTCCTCCCAGTAGTCACGCTGGCTCCGTTCCAGCAGGTGGGCAAAGCGCCAGACAATGCTGAGAGGCGGGTTCCGACTGCACACTGGGAAAAGGAGCAGCCAGTGAAGAGATCGAACAATTGCAGTAGAAGTTCTTCATCTAACAAACGATCCTACAAAACCAGGGGTACTTACCCAGCATCCTGTAATCCCCTCGAGCCTTATTAGCTCGCGCAAATGCCTGGATTTTTATAATAGCTTTGACCTGCCAAGACAAACAGAAAAAGGGGGGAGAATGATGGAAAAGGCTGGAGAGATTCGAACAAATCAGATTACGGTGGGTGTCGCATGGAACCGGGTAGAAAACTGGATTGCCAATCAGAAGCTGCTAAGAAAGTTCTTGTTTTCTTCCTAAAGTTACGCTGGCATTTTAACCAGCTAATACACCAGCTTAAAGCGAATTACATATCGCATCATCTCAGTTTTCAAAGATGCTTTTCAAGGATACCCAAAAGACAGCGCATTTCCCATGAAGGAAATATGTATTTTTACTTGGATCCTCTGTACCGCTCACTGGAGAAGGATCCAGGATCCTGTAAATAGCACCTGAAGATCAGCTGTGAGGTGTGTGGGGGGGAATAGGGCGCATCAAAGCAGTGGAATGCCCCCTTCCCCCCCCTTTTGCTCATCTTCTCTCTGTGTGTATGTTTTATTCCCCTTGAGCTTCTTCTGTGCATGTGCGCGCGTGCATGTTCATGTTTGTTTTAATGTATTTAACTTCCTCGTGTGACATTTCCCCTATGTATTCCCCATTCCTATGTATGGGTGAGAAGGCTGGACGATGAAGAAAGCTGGCAGGAAGAAAGTAGATTCCTTTGAAACGTGGTGTTGGAGCAGAGTTTCATAGATACCACTGGCCACCGAAAAGACAAATCAGTGGTTTCTACATCAAATCAAGCCTAGAAGCTAAAATGACTACAGTGAAGCTATCATAGTTTGGTCACATTATAAGAAGAAGAGAATCACTGGAAAAGATAAACTATGCGAGGGAAAGTTGAAGGCAGCAGAAAAAGAGGAAGACCCAGCATGAGATGGCTAGAAAGCTAAAGTAAAGCTCTGGGGCAAGTGATGCTCTGTCATCTTGGTGCTTGGGGGGGTCAACAGTGGGAGGGCTTCTAATGTCCTGGCCCCACTGCTGGACCTCCTGATGGCACTGGTATTTCTGGCCACTGTGTGACACAGAGTGTTGGACTGGATGGGCCTTTGGCCTGATCCAACATTGGCGTCTCTTATGTTCTTATGTTCTTATGATTCAATAAAACCGATCCATTGACGTTCTTTAGCAAGATCCACCCGTTTCCCTGCAGATCCACCTGACCTGGAGGGTGATCCTGTTCTTAACCAGCAACCCGATCTTGATATCCATGAGATTGAGGTCGCTCTCCAGCTGCTGGTTGGAACGGATCCCCCTGACCACACTCTCCTGGAGGTCCAGCAGCTCCATCTCCTCCCAGTAGTCACGCTGGCTCCGTTCCAGCAGGTGGGCAAAGCGCCAGACAATGCTGAGAGGCGGGTTCCGACTGCACACTGGGAAAAGGAGCAGCCAGTGAAGAGATCGAACAATTGCAGTAGAAGTTCTTCATCTAACAAACGATCCTACAAAACCAGGGGTACTTACCCAGCATCCTGTAATCCCCTCGAGCCTTATTAGCTCGCACAAATGCCTGGATTTTTATAATAGCTTTAACCTGCCAAGACAAACAGAAAAAGGGGGGAGAATGATGGGAAAGGCTGGAGAGATTCGAACAAATCAGATTACGGTGGGTGTCGCATGGAACCAGGTAGAAAATTGGATTGCCAATCAGAAGCTGCTAAGAAAGTTCTTGTTTTCTTCCTAAAGTTACTCTGGCATTTTAACCAGCTAATACACCAGCTTAAAGCGAATTATATATCGCATCATCTCAGTTTTCAAGGATACCCAAAAGACAGGGCATTTCCCATGAAGGAAATATGTATTTTTACTTGGATCCTCTGTACCGCTCACTGGAGAAGGATCCAGGATCCTGTAAATAGCACCTGAAGATCAGCTGTGAGGTGTGTGGGGGGGAATAGGGCGCATCAAAGCAGTGGAATGCCCCCTTCCCCCCCCTTTTGCTCATCTTCTCTCTGTGTGTATGTTTTATTCCCCTTGAGCTTCTTCTGTGCATGTGCGCGCGTGCATGTTCATGTTTGTTTTAATGTATTTAACTTCCTCGTGTGACATTTCCCCTATGTATTCCCCATTCCTATGTATGGGTGAGAAGGCTGGACGATGAAGAAAGCTGGCAGGAAGAAAGTAGATTCCTTTGAAACGTGGTGTTGGAGCAGAGTTTCATAGATACCACTGGCCACCGAAAAGACAAATCAGTGGTTTCTACATCAAATCAAGCCTAGAAGCTAAAATGACTACAGTGAAGCTATCATAGAACTCTCCCTAGAAGCTAAAACGACTACAGTGAAGCTATCATGGTTTGGTCACATTATAAGAAGAAGAGAATCACTGGAAAAGATAAACTATGCGAGGGAAAGTTGAAGGCAGCAGAAAAAGAGGAAGACCCAGCATGAGATGGCTAGAAAAAAGAGGAAGACCCAACATGAGATGAATAGGCAGCTAAAGTAAAGGTAAAGGTTTCCCTTGCTCAAAACCTAGTCAAATCCGACTCTAGGGATGCGGTGCTCATCTCCGTTTCCAAGCCGAAGAGCCAGCGCTGTCCGAAGACATTTCCGTGATCATGTGGCCGGCATGACTAAACGCCAAGGCGCACGGAATGCTGTTACCTTCCCACCGAAGCAGTACCTATTTATCTACTTGCATTTTCTTGCTTTCGAACTGCTAGGTTGGCAGGAGCTGGGGCCAGAGACGGGAGCTCACTCCGCCACATGGCACCAGGGTCTCAAACTGCCAAGCTACAGACCTTCCAATCTGCGGCTCAGTGTCTTAAGTCCTCCATTTGCAAGACTTGAGCAAGGCTGTTAACATTCGGAAGGACATTAATTCATAGGGTCACCATAAGTTGGAAGCGACTTGACGGCATTTAACACACATGTGTCATTTTGATGACAGAAAGATGAGACACCTTCTCTCTGAACAAAAACGCAACCCGCAGAGATGGCCTACTCACAAATACCAGCAACCAAGAGGCAATCAAAAGGGGAAGGCCGTTGCCCTCATGCTCTCTTTCTGGGTTTCTCAGAGGCACCTGGCTTCGAAACAGGTCCAGGCAGACCTCTGATCTGATTCAGTGATGCAATCTGATAAGTCCCCACATGAAAAGTACTCACATTCTTCCTGAAGTACCGCAGCCGTTCTAGATACCTTTTGCGCAGGCGCCTCATCCGTACCCAAGCTTGTAGCTGAAAGAGATGAAAATGGGTAAGACAAAATGTATTTCTGTTACCGGATTAAGAAATATCGAAGGAACCACCCTCAAGGCATTCACAAAAAAAAATCCCTTTAAAGGCCTACCTTTATTACAGCATCCACATTCTCCCTCAAATATTGCAGTCTTTCCAGGTAGCTCCTCCGCTGTCGGTACCCACGCCAATAGGCCTGCAAGCACAGAGCAGAGGAACTGGTGGAGCATAAGGGCTTCAGAAGGCAGTTGTGGAAACCCAAGTTTGAATCTTGCCTCTGCTTTACCTCAGGTCAGGCCATGCCTAACCTCCAGGCAGCAGCAGTTCCCACATTTTTACCCTGTTCTTCTTCCAAGGAGCTCAGTGTGTCTTATGTGTTTCTCCCTTACTCTATTTTATTTTTACGACAGCCCCTGTGAGGGAGGTTAGGCCAAGAGTGACTGGCCCAAGGTCACTCAATGAGTTTTGGGGCTTAATGGAAATTTGAACCCAGGACTCCCCAGTCCCAGTTCAACTACCACACAAGCTGTCAGAGCAAAAAAGTGTTTTTCTAGGTCTATTATCATCGTGTATGCTCCTAAAAATGTGGTGGTGGGGGGTCAGACTTGGGACCTTCTCCATACAAGTATGCACTCTGCCACTAAACTATGACCCCTGTCATAAAATTTTACATTTATACAATGCTTTAGCACATTTGAAGCAGTTCATATGCACTATCTTGTTGTAATGCCTTAAAACAGCCTCATAAGCTAGGTGGCTGGAGGAAGAAGAAGAAGAAGAGGAGGGGATTGGATTTATACCCCGCCCTTCACTACCCAAAGGTGTCTCAGAGTGGCTTACAAACTCCTTTCCATTCCCCTCCCCACAACAGCCACCCTGTGAGGTAGGTGGGGCTGAGAGAGCTCTGACAGTAACTGCTGTTTTTCAAGAACAGCTCTTGTCAGAGCTACAGCTTGCCCAAGGTCATCCAGCCAGGTGCAACCACTACACCAAACTATTTTACGGATACTGCGGACCTCCAAAAAGACAAATAGGTTCTAGATCAAATCATGCCTGAAATCTCCAGTTTGGTGTACTGGTTAGGAGGGCGGACTCTAATCTGGGAGAACCGAGTTTGATTCCCCACTCCTCCACATGCAGCTGCTGGTGTGACCTTGGGTTACTTACAAGTTCTTTCAGAGCTGTTCTCTCAAGAGCAGTCCTCGAAAGAGCTCTCTCAGCCCCACCTACCTCACAGGGTGTCTGTTGTGGGGAGGGGAAGGGAAAGGAGATTGTAAGCTGCTCTAAGACCCCTTCGGGTAGTGAAGGGCGGGCTATAAATCCAATCTTCTTCTTCCCTAGAAGCTAAAATGACTAAACTGAGGCTATCATACTTTGGTCATATTATGAAAAGATGAGACCACTGGAAAAGACGATAATGCTCGGGAAAGTGAAAGGCAGCAGGAAAGAAGGAAGACCCAACATGAGATGGACGGATTCCGTCAAGGAAGCCACGGCCCTCAGTTTGCAAGACCTAAGCCAGGCTGTTAACGAGAGGACATTTTGGAAGTCATTAATGGATAGGATCACTGTAAGTCAGAAGTGACTTTGTGGCTTTTGATACACACACATGAGGTAGGCCGGTATTAACATCCATACGTCACACATGGGAACCTTACAGAAAGGGGGCTTGCCTCAATCCCACCTCAGGAAATCAGGGCCAAGGCAAAATTCAAACTGAAGGCCTCAGCTCAGGTTTCCCTACCTGAATTTTAATAGCAGCCGGGATCTGCTTTGACAAAAGGCGCCAGCGAGTGGCAAAGTCCTGCCGGACAAGGAAGCCCCTCATGCGGGCCTGCAGCTGGGTGACCAACCGGACGTTCGATTTCCAGAGGCGTTCCCGGTCGTGGGCAGCCGTCGCTCTGGTGATTGCAAGCTGCAGTGAAGAGACAAGACAGGTGGGGTCAAGAGGAGGGCCCGTCTGAACCAAAGGGTGGAAAGAAACGGACCGCGATCTCAGAACTTTAGCTGCACACCGATGACGTCCATCGCAAGAGCAGCCCTTTAAAATGTCTTATTTCTCTATTTATGCTAGCGATAGTCCACAAGGGCTCAAGGAGGATTACACAGACGGAGTCAGTACAACCAACAAAACTGGACATTCAGTAACCAATGCATTAGGACAGGGGCCTCCAGCCTTTTCGAGCCTGTGGGCACATCTGGAATTCTGACATGGCATGGTGGGCGCCGTAACAAAATGGCTGCCAAGGGAGGCCGAGCCAGCAACAAAATGATCACCACAGTGTAGATCCTCGTGCTGTAGCGGCAGCTGCTGACAAAGCAACATTTTTTAAAAAACCTGCTCAGCCAATCAAATCAAGGCTTACCTGGCCTCACCCACTTCCTAAAAACATTTGACGGGTGCCACAAAAAGTATTGGTGGGCACCATGGCACCCACAGACATCATGTTGGGGATCCCTGCATTAGAATTAAGAAGTCTGGAACCCCCCCAGAAAGAACTGAAACAGAGCATAAGTATTCACAGGACACATTAAGTGGTACAGAAATTACATAAATAGGATCCTGCTTACAGTAAGCTATACGTAGTCGAATAGATCACAGCCCCTACTCATGTATTTTGTACAACCATTTTGTACAGTGCAGCCCTGTAACCTGCACAGAAAACCCCTCTTGTAGAGTTTGTCAAAAGCAAGGAGAGTGGGAGCTTCCCTGATCTCCTCCAGAATTGTCCCTGAAGGCAGGCAGGAAAGTTGCAGGAGATGAGACCGCTCCTGGACTCCCTTGACCACCTGGGTTTAGCTGACCACTCACTTAAGAGCTGGTTTGCTCTTGTCCCTTTTCCCAGTAAACCTCTAGCCACAAAAGGAGAGGGAGCAGAAGCATAGATAAGACAGGGAGAAAATCTTGTCTGGGAAGGGCGCTCAGCCCTTCTTCTCTCCCCTCTCCCCCCCACATTTGGAGGCCAAGTCATACAGAGCAGGGTCTTTTCAGTGACTGCTCCTCCTTCCATCTGTGCTTTGGAATGCCCTCCCCCTTTCCCACCAGCCAGAGCCCTGTCTAAATATTTTTTCACTGCCAAGGAAAGAATATTTTTTTTAAAAAAATGGCTTTAAATTGAACTTCACCCTTTGATAAGTTTTTGTTTGGTGCTTTATTGTTCAACTTGATTGCTTTCTTTTGCTGTTTTGTTTTATTGACGCCAGCTTGGTTCCACTAGAGTGTTTCTGCAGTATGCAATGTTCTTGACAAACACACCCCAGCAGCTCCAAATGCCACTATAAACTGCTGTTGCATAATAGCACTCCATGGTGGCATCTTGGGCTGCAGGGGAGGGGGGGGGGGGGGGGGGGATAAAAAAAATCACACTTCGTGGGCAGTAATCCTTCTGTCCACTGAAACACTCTGGAGAACCCAAGCTAGTATTTTTGTATTGGTGTCAATTCACTTTAAAAAAAATTATATTGTGTTGTATCTTACGTTCTTAACATATTTACTAATTGCACACCGCCTTGGTCACTATTATAAATATTAAAAGCAAATAAAATATAGGGGCCAGAGGATCAACAGACCCCTCCCCCACACTTCCTGCTTTCTATGCCTGTCTCTCACAGAAACATCAGACTTCTCTATTGTCTCCATTTTGGTTGAGGGCAGCAACGGTTACCTCATTGGCTGGCACCCGTATCCCCCCCGCCTTTTCTTGCTCTGAGCTCCCTTCCCCACCGCCCAGAAAAAAAGGCTGGTAGTCCAGAGCTGTGGTGGCTCAAGTGGTTAAGACGCTGAACTGCAGGCTGTGGAAGGTCGGTAGTTCAGCAGTTCGAGACCCGAGTGTGCCACATGACGGAGTGAGCTCCCGTCTCTAGTTCCAGCTCCTGCCAACTTAGCAGTTCGAAAGCAAGAAATTGCAAGTAGCTAAATAGGTACCACTTCAGTGGGAAGGTAACAGCGTTCCGTGCGCCTTGGTGTTTAGTCATGCCGGCCACATGACCACGGAAACGTCTTCGGACAGCGCTGGCTCTTCGGCTTTGAAACGGACACGAGCACCGCAACCCTAGAGTCGGATCTGACTGGCTTTCGAGCAAGGGAACCTTTACCTTCAGTCTAGAATTGGGACAAATAAAACCATAGGGAAACAGCCATCTTGGATCTTTTAATAGTATTGAACTTTTAAATGTAATTATATATTGAACTTTAATGTTTTTTGTATATTTTATGACATTATGTCCTGTATATCACACAGAGCCCAGCTTAAGCTGGGATAGAGCCATTAAAATAATAATAATAATAATAATAATAATAATAATAATAATAATAGTAGTAGTAGTAGTAGTAGTAGTAGTAGTAGTAGTAGTAGTAGTAGTCTGGCTTCTGTGCAGGTTCTTCTGATATAAGCAGCATCCTTATGCCTCTAGGCTTAGAGTTGCCAACGCCAAGTTGAGAGATTCCCGGAGACTTGGGGGAGGGGAGCCTGGGGAGGGCGGGGTTGATGGAGGGGAAGGGAGCTCAGTGGGATATAATGCCACAGAAGCATTCCCTCCAGGAGTACTAATCTCTGCTGTCTTGACATCAGTTAGAATTCCAGATCTCCAGATCCCACCTGGAGGTTGGCAACCCGACATTTGGGCCACCTTTGCCCTCCAACCAATCCACTGTTGTTTCAGTGAGCAGAGGCTGAACTCCTCTGCTGTTGCTAAGTGATTCTCCAACCAAATCCCAGTGTACTCTGAAACGGTCCTTGCTACCCAGCATCACAAAAGATAACAGGATGAACACTTCATTTGACCTGGCAGGAGTGCAGATATGGAATATACCTCATAAACACATAAGCAGAGCCCTGCTAGACCAGACTAGTGGCCCATCTGGTTCATCATCCGGTTTCAAACAGCATAAGAACTTAAGAGAAGCCATGCTGGATGAGGCCAATGGCCCACCCAGTCCAACACTCTGCGTCACACAGTGGCCAAAACCCAGGTGCCCTCAGGAGGTCCACCAGCAGGGTCCACCAGCTGCCCTGGAGGGCCAGCAAAGAAGGCACAAAGGCCAAGGCCTTCCCCTAATGTCATCTCCTAGCTAGGGTTGGCAGCTCAAGGCTGGCAACTGGCAAGAGACTTACTGGATGGTGAGGGCCCTTGCTGGTGACGCTGTGATGTCACTTCCAGGTTGTGCCGGAAGTAACATCATGATGTTGCCAGTAAAGAGCCCAACCATCTACTACAACTCCCATTTCCCCTACAATTTTCCCCTGCTGACCAAGTGAGCAGTGAGAGCAAAATTGGTGGGAGGTCTCCTACCAGAGTGGGAGACCTGGCCTCCTTGCTCCTACCACTGGGTTTCAGAAGTTTACTGCCTCTGAATGTGGAGGCTCCCTTTACCCAGCAAGGCCAGTAGCCACTGATGGACCTATTGTCCATGGATCTGTTTCACCCCCTTTTAAAAGCCATCTCTGCTCGTGGCGACCACTACCTCCACTAGCAGTGAATTCCACAATTTAATTACTCATTGAGTAAGTATTCCCTTTTGCCTGGCCTGTACCTATTGCCTAAACTGCATTGAGCACCCCCCAAGTGCTAGTATTATGGGTAAAGGAGACAAAGCATAATTTTATAAACCTCTATTATGTCCCCCCCCCTTATGCACCTTAGCCATATTTTTTTCTAAATGGAAAAGTCCCAAACTTTCCAGTCCCTTAATCATCTTAGTTGCCTCCTTTTGTACAGTACCATATATTTTATTTTATTTTATTTTATTTTATCCTTCGATTTCATATACTGCCCTAACCCCCTTGGGGGTCTCTGGGCGGTTTACATGTGGGGTGCTAAGCACATTATACCTTAACTTGGGCCACATTTGCAGGGGATGGGACAGCCTACCGGCACCCAGGTGGAGGCTGATGTTTCTTTTTCCGGCTCGGCTCTAGTACTGGTAGTCCATCGGCTAGACGTTCCTCCTGGCGCTCAGGTGGACCGACACAATTCACATCCTCCTCCGGCTTCGTCCCTCAGGCTCCGCCGCACCTACAGATGACGTCATCGTGCGCCTCTACCCCCGACGACACCAGCTGCCCGTTGTTCCTGCTGCTGGCCACCAGGGATCACTTCCTCCGGCCCTGCCGCTGTTGCCTGCTGCCGCCGCCGCACCGCCAAGCACACGCCGCCTCCACCACTGGTACTCCGCCGCCGCCGGTGTCCGCCGCCGCCGCCGTGTTCCTCCACACACCTCACTAGAGGAGGGTGCCCCCTACCCCTCTAAGGGTAGGTGCCCATTTATCTACTCGCTTTATAGTTACCTTAGCTTTCGAACCGCTGGGTGGGCGGGAGCTGGGACTAGGGTCGGGAGCTCACCCCGACCGCGGTGGTCTTGAACAGCTATAGTGGCTGCTCAAGTGTTGTTAAGGCAGGCATTCTATCGCCTATGCCACCGCTCCCTTAATATGAATAATATTCATATTATATTTCATATTAAAGATTCATGTCTTCTTAGACCCTTATGTGTTTACACAGCTTCTAACCAGCTTTTCACTCTGAATAAGACCCCCAAAAGAACTACCAAATCAAGCAATAAATGCCCATAAACTAAGATTGCCACTGAGAATGCCTCAGACTGGTGACGAGCAGTTGGCACCAACCAGCAGGAGAGAATACCCAGGAGGCATTGCTGAGAAGGACACAGGGAAGCACGTGGATTCATATTAGGAGAGACGGTACCTTCAGAATGAGCTAAAGTCAGTTGTTTCTGGTCTTGCATGCTGAAAAAGCATCCAGGATGTTTGACGTTTCTGTCAAAGTTCTACTGTCCATTACAATCAAACCATACTTCAAATTGGGGGTTGCATCAAACAGACGTAACTTTAATATCTGCCAAACGGTGATTATCCCCTGCCTTCCAAGAATGCTGTGGACCAGCTATGATGCAAAGAGACTACAAGTTGAGAACCTACATTATTTCCTGGAATGCCACTGGACTCAAGATGTTGCTAGCAATGGAATTCACTAGGATTCTTTAAAGATCATTTGCCCAACAACTATTCATTCCCCAAGTTTATTAGTGCCTGCAAATTCTTGGACACAATTTTAAATATGTAGCTATTTTAAAAATATTGGCATACTGTACTCAAAACCAAAACACAGGACCCAAAATGCTGGAATGCTGGGAAAGCATTCTAACACAAATCAAATCCATTGTTAATTTGGACATCACACCCACGCTGGAAAACTTATTTTTGAACAGTTGGGTAGCTCAGGACTCTGCTCCTGCAGTGGTGGAGAGGGTCTCCATCCTGCTATTTGCAGCCAAAACTGTCATTGCAACCCACTAGAAAACAACAATGACACCTTCAATTTCTCTCTGGCATAAGAAATTGTGGGATTTATATATTATGGCAAAACTCTCGGATAACCTTACACAACTTGACAAAATTCCTGCCCAATCCTCCTTTACAACTATTTGGTTCCCTATACTGGAGTACTTACAATAATTTGATGATACTCCTAAGGAAATAGATACTTTACATCTTTGGTAACAAATGTATAAGTATTGGTAATAAGTATTGATAGGCACTGCAAATCGTTAACATCTACAATAAATTATTGTTATGAAAATTAAGACATGGATGATAGAAAATATGACTTCTGTACTTGATTGCTAAAATTTATGTAGTTCACTATTCATAATCTATGGGAGAAATCTGGTACACAACGGACTTATAAATGTTATTGTATTGTTACACCAATTTATACATGTAAGATATTCTGTTATCAAATTTTCAAAATTAATAAAATTATATTGTATTAAAAAAAACAACCCCAAAACACAGACTGATGTCAGAAGACGGAGGCATACCTGGATTTCCTCCCGGCTGAGATGTGTTGTATTAAGGACACAGGGACGTGGCTGATCCCACACACCTTCAAACGTCTGCAGGCTGAAGTAATACTCTGCTCCATCCTTCAGTCTGTGTTGGACCCAAGGGGCTTTTGCATTCCCTGCATGTCAAATAAAATTTAAAAACAGAGTAATGCCATCAGCTCATGTGGATGACAGCAAAGGCACCGGCCACGTTGCAAGTGTTCTTTCATCACAGTGGAGGATCTTGTCCACTACACAGCCTCCTTTATCATTGCCCTGGGGAGAGATTTCTCCCTGAACTGTTAGTAGAGATGTGATAGCCTGGGTTTTTTTAAAAAAAATAAATGAGGAAAACCTCTCCTTTCTGCATTTTTCCATTTTTCCCCTAGGACTTTTGAGAGTACACTAAAAAAAACCTCTTATGAAATATTGTTAGAATGCTTCTTGAAACAAAGTTGTTCACACTTAAAATGCATAGAATGAAAAAGTCTGAGGCCTTTTTCAATTTTTCCGAAAAAAGAACCAAACAAACTAAATATTATTTTTAAGTGAGAAAAACCTTGTCTTACACAGCATTTCACTCATTCCAAATGTACAGCACGAACAAGTCTGGAAAATTATATGTATCACGGTCCACAGGGAGCTTCAACTAGGTGATCAACTCCACAAGCTCACAAGCTTCACTCTGCGTTACCCAGCTTCGGCAGGGGGGAAATATGAGCATTTTAATCCAAATTAGACACTTCAGACATCATACAAAGTCAGAGTGGTAAAACTAAGTCGGGGTAGTGCAACAACCCAAATATGTGCTATGCCACTAATCATGGTTAGTTAAAGGTATGGCTAGCCAGGGTCTGAAACCATGGTTTCAAGAGGGATCATTAACCAGTTAACTGTGGTTTTGCATGATGTAGGAATCCAGACATTTTGCCATTCTCCTCCTTTGTTCCCTAGTGCTGCCCTCACACATTCCTCCAGACCATAGAAATGCCTGGTCAAAGCAGCTCAAAAACCTCCATCAACTTTCATGGGTTCTCACTAGTCAAGTAAAATCACCTTTGTCCTTCTTCCACTGACACAAGCCACAAGCCAGAGAGGAAGAAAGGTGATTTTACTCAATTCTTCCTTGCTATTGCTATTCCCCCCCCACACACACCACAGACCATAGAAATGCCTGGTAAGAGCAGCTCAAAAACCTCTCTCGCCTTTCATGGGTTCTCACTAGTCAAGTAAAATCACCTTTATCCTTCTTCCACTGACACAAGCCACAAGCCAGAGAGGAAGAAAGATGATTTTACTTGATTCTCCCTTGCTATTGCTATTCCCCCCCACACACACACACACACCACATGGTGCATTTTGCCTCAAAATTCTCCCAGTTCTCAGAGAGGAGTTTATTTATTTATTATATAGTTTTGAGACAAACATCTGTTCTGCCAACTCCTTCTGCTGGACACAATCCAATGACTAATATCTTATCTATCTATTTATTTATTTATATCCTATTTTTCTCCCCATTTCGGACTCAAAGCAACTTTTAGAACTTCATTCTCCCCTTCTACATTTCCTCACAACAGCCCTGCGAGGTAGGCCAGGCTGAGAGTTTGCGGTGGTCCCAAGCCACCCAGCAAGCTTCCATGATAGAAGTGGGGATTCGAACCCAGGTCTCTCAAGGTCCTAGTCTGCCACTCTGACCACATTGACTCCTTAGGACCAGCTCACTAGGACAGTCCTCCGCCCCTGTCCACTTTTACCTGGTGGTTTCCTCGCAGCCATAATGGCACCAAGCTGTGCCTGATAAGCGCCGGCACACTCCATCACCACGCCAAACAGAGACACATCTGGATTGCGCAGGACCCTGACTGTTTGCGCTGTGTTTCCTTCTTTTATGGCCTGATTAATAGCAGCGATGCCCAGAGCCACTGCAGAAGACAAGAAGGGAAAAAAGGGCTAGAGAAGGCAAAACAAAGGACACGTTGAAAGGAGAGAATGGGAATCTAGAGGACGCACCAAAACCTCTCTTACACACATGGAAGCCTCTCTTCAGATCCCTCATGCCTAGCCACTTGCTGAGGTCTACCCCAACCCCCTTGCTAATCTGCTTCCTACCCTGAAGTGAGACTCCCTGGCAGGGCTCGATCAGAAACCTGAAACACCTTCCAAGCACGCAGCCCAGAATGAAACCAGAAAAGCCAAGATGGTGCTTCGTACTTCTCTTTGCCGCTTCCGAGTCCTGGTTGGCTTTGGAGACCCCCTCCTGGATCTCTTCCCACCACAGCATGGCTCCAGCGTCCCCGCTTGCCTAGGACAGAAGAGATAAAAAGGATCTCAGAATCCCATTGTAGATGAAACCAGCACTGGGAAGAAGGCCAGCCAGTAGTTACTCTTGCAGAAGGCAGTTCAGTAGCTAAATGTACCCTACACAATGTGCCAATGAATGCCAGGTGCCGAGGAAAGCCTTTAAGCCCAGCTTGCGAGTTTCGCAAAAACATCTGTTGGAAACAGTGTGCTGGACCAGATAGACCTTCAATCTGATGCAGCAGGGCTTTTCTTACACTCTTCTGGGCATAAAAAGGGGGGGGGGTCTCAAAATATCTCCCAAACAAGAAGCAAGACTGCCTGATTCTTTGCAAGGTGAAGGTGCACAGAAGACATCCTTGACATCCTTCCACCTGACGCTTCGGGGAGTGAGCCATAACTTAGTGCTAGAACACCCGTTCAGTACATCGAAGAACCCTTGTTCAGCCCCTGGCATCTCCAGGAGCAACTGCTGGAAAAGATCATCCTCCTCTGCCTGAGAGCCACTGCCACTCGCCATAGATGTCACGTGACCTGCCCAACCAATAATCTGACAGAGGGCAACCAGCTTGACATGTGACAGGGTGGGACACATAGCCCACTGACAGGGCACCTGTCTTGCACTCAGGAGGAACCAGGATGAATCCATGGCCCTTCCACTGAAAAAAGAGAAAAGGACCTGGGAAAGCCTTTCTGTGCAAGAGAGGATTCATTTACTTCATATATATCCTGCTTTTCTCCCCAACGGGGGCCCAAAGCAGTTTTACATACTTTTCCTCAACTCTGTTTTGTCCTCACAACAACCCTGCGAGGTAGAGTAGGCTGAGTGTGTGTCACTTGCCCAAGGTCATCCAGCAAGCTTTCTTGGCAGAATGGGCATTTGATCCTGGTTGTCCTAGGGGGTCTGGCACCCTAACCACTAAATCCCCTGGCACCTCTTGGTAAAAATCCTTTCTGAATAATTGGGTCCGGAGGGCTGCTGCTATTTAGGAGCTGACAGTACAGTCCTAACCTGGATAGCCCAGGCAAGCTCAATCTCGCAAGATCTCGGACGCTAAGCAGGGTCAACTCTGGCAAGTACTTGGATGGGAGACCTCCTTGGAATACCAGCAGTCGGGAGGGACAGGAGCAGGCTTTATTCAGCCACCGCTCTAAAATCCTCCAGGCCCCCAGGAGGGGTCAGTCACTAGAGGTCAATGTGACCTGCAGGTGCAGACACACGCACACACACAAATAGACAACAAAGAGTTGACAGTACGGAGGCAGCTGGGCCGAAGAGCCAATGCCACAGAGAGGCCGAAAAAGACACACAAAACGCTAAGTTTGGGAACCGCAGGTACACTCTATCTCACGTAACACACACGCACCCTGCCTCACCACCCGTTTCTGGCCTGTCCGAATTAACAAGAGTTCACTTCGTTAGGACACGGAGAGCGGTTGCTATGGCTATGTTATCTTAAATGCTTCGTAGCCCAGACTAGGCCAATCGCATCATATCTCCAAAGCTAAGCAGGGTCAGCCCTGGTTAGTATTTAGATGGGAGACCACCAAGGAAGTCCAGGGTCACTAGGCAATGGCAAACCGCCTCTGAACATCTCTTGCCTAAAGCCTATTGAGTTGTTCTAAGTGGGTTGCCACCAGATGGCTCTTCCCACCAAAATACTCCAGCCCAAATGTCACACTCCTTCCTCTTCTTCCTACCTGGGCTTTTTGTTTCCGTGCACGGGTCAGAACATCACGGTACCGCCTAGCATTTGGGAGCATCACGTCGCACAGGCCGGCAGATGGCAGCAACAGAGCAGTGAGTGTCTTTTCCGGGCTCCCCTGGTCCAGTGCCTCGTTGATCAGTCGGACAGCGAGGACTTCTGTCGAGAGAGAGAAGGGAGGAAGAGGAGTGGTACTTCCGTCCAGCTAAGCTCCATGCAGAGAGGGGCAACCAAAACCCAACCGCTGTGGACTGCAAGGGTTTGCTAACATCCAATGTATCCCGACAGCCCAAAACAGACAGACAGCAAGAGGTTTAGTAAGTCCCTGGTGGGCCACCATACATGGCAGACGGGCTGCACTTCACTTCCAGAGGAACCTAGTGTGGTCATTTCGTCATGTGACTGCAAACGCCACAAGCCAATCCGGCGAGGATTTACACAAGCGACAGCTAAGCTTGACAATAACAAGGGCTTTACCAGTTTAGGAAAAACCTAAGAAAGGAGACTGTACAGGGTGCTGTTTGGCTGGGCAAACAGGAAACCCAGGTCTACTTTGAACTGAGCCAGTTGCAGTCCCGCAGACTGCTTTAAATGACTTTATATGCCTGTCACTCTCAACTGTCTAGACTAACCATACTAAGGGTGTATTTACTGATGTGGCTCAGTGGTAGAGAATCTGCTTGGCATGCATGAAATCCCTGGTTCAGTCCCCGCTGTTGGATCCCCAGGCATTCGAAATAACTCCACGTTTGGAACAAAGTAAGGTTTATTTCAAAGCGATGGTTCAAACAGGAACAAGGACATTGTTAGGAATAACTGCGAATACATATGAGCAACATAATAAAGAGATTTGAACCAGGTGAGGGCCAATGAGCCCAGTTCCCGCTGGCGGGAATAGAACTTAGAAAGCGCGCCCATTTCATGGGAACATAACAGTTCTACACAATCAACACAGGTTCAGTTCACAGGCTAGATACCCATAACAAGCTAAGTGAAGCACCAACTCCCACCACCAGCTGCATGACCGTGGCCAGTTCCGCAAAGAACAGATGAAGCAAAACGAAGCAAGAGAACCCAGGGGAGGGGGAGGGCGAAATGAAGCGTTAAGCAGGTAACACCAGAAACAATGGCAGCTAGCTGACACCCGCCTTCTCCAGGCACAATGATCAGGGAGTAGGTGATGTGAAGGTAAGCCAGTCGAATCCGACTCTATGGGGCGGTGCTCATCTCCGTTTCCAAGCCGAAGAGCCAGCGCTGTCCGGAGACTTCTCCGAGGTGATGTGGCCAGCGTGACTAAACGCCGAGTCGCATGGAACGCTGTTAACTTCCCACCAAAGCGGTACTTATTTATCTACTTGCAATTTCTTGCTTTTGAATTGCTAGGCTGGCAGGAGCTGGAGCCAGAGACGGAGCTCACTCCACCATGCGGCACTCGGGTCTCGAACTGCCGAGCTACTGACCTTCTGCTCTGCAGCTCAGCATCTTAATCTCTGAGCCACTGCGGCCCCACTAGGTGATGTGAAAGATCTCCCCAAATCCTGAAAACAGTGGAAATCTGGGGGGCTGGTTTACATTGGAATTGCCCCACCAAGAAACAGAGTAGCAATTGGCAACTGTGATTCCTATAAGGAATCCTCCATGTAGACAGTTCCCCGCAAATTATTTACTTTATTGATACCCTGCCCTTCTCCACAACGAGGACACAAAGCGGCTTACGATGTTCTCTCCTTCTCCATTTTATCCTCACCATAACCCTGGAAGGGGGCAGGTGGGGCTGAGAGCACACGGTTGGCCCAAGGTCTCCCAGTGAGCTTCTACCGCAGAGCTTCTACCGCAGGGTCTCCTAGATCCTAGTCTGGCATTCTAACCACTACACCACACTGGCTCTATCCATCTATCCATCATACGGAGATACCGAGCTGACCATGTGAACTAACTTTTGGACACTCCCCACCCCCACCCCCAGTTTGCATCTTTATATCCTTCTTACATCCTTTGTTGGCACCTAATTTCTAACAAAGGTTGTATTTTCAGCGGAGTAAGAACTGAGGGGAGGAGCTGCGGTAGCTCAGGTGGTTAAGATGCTGAACTGCAGGCTGTGGAAGGTCAGTAATTCAGCAGTTCAAGACCCGGGTGCCGCAAGACGGAGTGAGCTCCCGTCTCTAGTTCCAGCTCCTGCCAACCTAGCAGTTCGAAAGCAAGAAATTGCAAGTAGATAAATAGGGACCACTTCGGTGGGAAGGGAACAGCGTTCCGTGTGCCTTGGTGTTTAGTCATGCCGGCCACATGACCACGGAAACGTCTTTGGACAGCGCTGGCTCTTCGGCGTTGAAACGGAGATGAGCACCGCAACCCTAGAGTCCGATTTGACTGGCTTTCAAGCAAGGGAAACCTTTACCTTTAAGAACTGAGGGGCCTGCAACACTGGCTCTGTCCACACAAGACAAAGAGCTTTTTCATATCTTCTTCCTCAGTAGGGTTCATTGCTGGACATAGGGTTGTCAATTTTAAACAGGTCCTTCTGCTGCAGATCAAAGTGATGTTAAAAGGACTGCCGAATACCAGGCGATGTTATCTTTATCCACGCCATGAGAAGCTTCAAACTGCCCATTTCCATGTTCTATTAAAGGGACGGAATGGTTTTCTCCAGACCTGTTGGCAGCCCTAGCAAGACCTGAACTGGGGTTTTTGTGGAGCCCCAAATATTTGTGAACCGTTTTGATGACTTACTGTTGTTTTCCTCTTGGACCGAGACGTTCACGTCATTCACGGAAGCCTGGATGTCGTTCCAGCTCAGGAACTCATTCTTTCCACCTTGAGAGCAGCACTTCCGTTTCAATAAGTCATCAAAGTAACTGGAATGTAAAAACATCTGTCTCTCTCCAGTAGCCTTCACCCAGGTTTGGATATACCTAAGGGGTGTGTATACTCCAACGGCACAGGAGCTCAGAAAAATACAGCTTAAGACACAGAATCCAGCTTTAAAAAACATATACACATTTTGGTCTTTTAACTGCAAAGATGATAGTGTTGGTTCTCTTCATTTCCATGTCTGTATGCAAGGCTATTCCAGTATCCCCTCCCTTGCAGAGGTGGGGGGGAAAGAGGCAAAAGGGGAGAGCTGGCCACCTTTTCAATGCATTTTCCATGTGCAAAGCATCAAGGGTGGGTAGGGATGCCCGCCTCCAGGTGGGGCCTGGGGATTCCCTGGAATTCCAGCTCACTTCCAGACCACAGAGATCATTTCTCCTGGAGAAAGTGGCAGCTTTGGAGGGTAGATTGCGTGGCATTGTACCCCACTGAGTGCCCTGTCCTCCCCAGGCTCCAACCCCAAATCTTCAAGGGCTTCCCAACCTGGATCTGGCAACCCAACCCCCCACTGGTAGCTGGGGGGGAAACTAGGCAATCCTAGGGGTGGGGTGAGGGAAGGTATTCTTGAAAGCAGCAGGGATGAATATCAACCAAGGGGGTTTAAAACCATTAGCTGAAATTAGGTTTCCCCGTTTTAAAATGTATTTATTTAAAATAAATATGCCGAACTTTTCCTCCTGGGGGAAAACCCCCACGGGACTAAGATGGCTTATGTGCATTTATTTATACTGGAGAAGACCTGTAGCTCAGTAATAGAGCAATTGCTTTGCACACAGAAGGTCCCAGGTTCAGTCCCTGCCATGTCTAGCTAAAGCATTTCAGAGAACAGGTGTGAGGAAAGACTTTTAACTGACCTTGCTCCTGGGGAGCAGACACTATTGAGCTACATCAACCAGTGGTTAAACCAGGGGCCCCCAACAAGTTGCCTGTGGGCATCATGGGGCCCGCCAACACCTTTCCTGGCCCCTGCCAAGTGTTTTTAGGCAGTGGGTGTGGCTTTTGTCCAGCAGGATTTCTGATTGGCTGTGCAGATTTTTTTAAATGTTGCTTTGGCAGCAGCTGCCAGCACAGCACAAGGATTCTCACTGTGTCACTGAAGGTAAGCTGCAGCAGCCATTTTGTGGCTGGCTCGGCCTCCTGCGGCAGCCATTTTATGGCAACCATTCTGTGACTGCACCTACCATGCTGTGTCAGAATTCCAAAGGTGCCCGCATGTGGAAAAGGGTTGGGAACTCCTGGGTTAAACTCAGTATAAGGCAGCTTTATGTGTTCATATGCAACTTCAGCTGGTAGCCGTGACTCAGGCAATAAAAGAGACCCTGTCAGGAAGTTGCTTTTTTTTTTCAACCACCCCAAGCCCTTCTGCCTCCTGTTGAGTGCACGGCAACTCTGAACATTTGCTTACCGCTGTGCATTGCTATCTTCTACCTCTGACAGACCTAAACTGGAGCTGACCAGAACATTCCAGAAGGTGCCAGTGTCTCCACGTTCAAGGGCTTGGTTGACAAGGGCCACTGCAGACAACATCTCCACAGCAACAAACAGTTCCTCTTGGACCAACTCACCCTGCCGCATAAAAGACAGGATATTCCTAAAGGCCTGAACTTATTATCCTTCTTTTTAGTTTCTAATTTACCAAGATTATTTGGCTCCAGTTTCCCAAAAGCTTGTATCTTATCAATCAAACGTGAGAATAATTTACATTTTGAATTATTTATTCTGATATTTGTTTCTAATTTTATCTCAATTATACTTAGTATAAGTGGCAGGGAGGGACAAGGCTTGGCATGGGGCACTGAAATCCCATTCAGCATGGCTTCAGCAATATGGACTAGAAAACTTGCTCTTATTCGGTTGATGTATCAATTTGATTTTCCTCCCAGTGCAGATTACTAACAACAACCATTTCCATCATATAGAAGCAAAAAGGAAAGTTGGGAAGTGAGACATCTGAGCGGTCAAACAGCAATCCCTAACCTTCTCAATTAAAAATGAAATATTTAAATCCTTTGAAAATTTAACAAAACTGATCCTTGAATTGTCAGGGGGTTTCATACTTAATGCTAACTATAAAAACTAATTCTAAAAACTAATTTGTCAATTGCTATTGAGAAAAATTCGCTTTACAAAAATTCTAGGTTTTTTTGCAATTTCTCTCGATGTGGATGATTCACCAAACAACTTTTCTCTTTTGGTTTTTACCCTGGAGCTGAAGGACTAGCAAGCCATTACAACATTTCTGAAGGACAAAATTAGAGCAAAAACAAAGCACCGTAATAGCAGCCAGAAAAAAACAGATTTTTTTTAAAAAGACAACAGATCAGTTCCTTCTATCTATACACTTTTATTCACCCCTTTACCTCAGGATGGGTAGCAGTGTTCATCTGTTCATCTTAAAGACTAACAACATTTGCGGCAGGTAAGCGCTTTCATGAGACACTGCTCACTTCTTCAGATACAGAAGTGAGCAGTGACTCACAAAAGCTCATACCCTGCCACAAAATTTGTTACTCTTTAAGGTGCTACTGGACTCTTGCTCTTTTCTGCTGTTTACCTCAGAACAGTATACATTTTTACCTGTGCCCCATCCCCTGCATAACCCCCACCTATACACTTTTATTTCCCCCTTTAACTCAGGACAGTATATATCTTACCCCCACCCCACCACCCCATTTAATCCCCACAACAATCTTGTGAGGTAGGTTAGGCTCCAAGGAGTCTTCCTCCAGCCTAAGGAGACTTTCTCCAGCTTCCTCCAGAGGAAGAGCCACATAAATCAGAGGAAGGCTCCCCAGGCCGAAGGAAAGCTTCAAATTTTGCTCAGGGGAATGGAACTATAGGGTTAGGCCCAACCCTTGCAGCCAGCCTAAGGTCACTTTGGGTGCTTTGAGAAAAGGTCACTTTGAGAGCTAGTTTGGTGTAGTGGTTAAGTGTGCGGACTCTAATCTGGGAGAACCGGGTTTGATTCCCCACTCCTCCACTTGCACCTGCCGATGTGACCTTGGGTCACTCACAAGCTCTGGCACAGCTGTCCTTGAAAAAGAGCAGTTTGTGTCAGAGTTCTCTCAGCCCCACCCACCTCACAGGGTGTCTGTTGTGGGGAGGGGATGGGAAAGGAGTGTGTAAGCCGCTCTGAGACTCCAAGTGAAGGGCGGGGTATAAATCCAATCTCTTCTTCTTCTTCTGCTTCAGGGCAGAGTGGGGATTTGAATCTGGATGCTCTACTCACTCATCCTGTTTAGATACACCTGCGGTTTTAGCCAGCAGTAGGATTGCCAACTTCCAGGTGAGGCCTGAAGATTTCCCAGAATTATAACTCATATCCAGACTACAGAGATCAGTTCCACTGGAACAAGTGGGAGCTTTGGATTGGACTCTATGGTGTTATAACCTTCTGCAGTCCCTCCCTTTCCCAAATGACACACTCCCCCAGGCTCTAACCCTAGGCTAACCAAGGTCCGGCAGGGGATTCGTATTTCTTGCCAGGAGCCTTGCCGCGGGGACGGCTCCGCACACTGCACCCGCCTGCTTTGGATTGGACTCTATGGTGTTATAACCTTCTGCAGTCCCTCCCTTTCCCAAATGACACACTCCCCCAGGCTCTAACCCTAGGCTAACCAAGGTCCGGCAGGGGATTCGTATTTCTTGCCAGGAGCCTTGCCGCGGGGACGGCTCCGCACACTGCACCCGCC